GCCCCCACCTTCTGGCCCGGGTTGGTGGGGCACCATGACAGCGGGGAGCAGGGAGCGGGCCTGGGAGGGTGGCACCCTCTGAGTCTGGATCAATGATGTGGGGGTGGGGTGGGGGGCTGCTCATCTGCGGCGGGGTGCTCCTGGGAGCGGGTCTGCCCTGGACTGAGTGACAGTGACGTCATCGCCGAGCCCCCGGGACCTCGACATCAGGAATCACGTCTCTAAGAACACGCACACCCACACTGGAATGCGCTTTGGGGAAGGGTGCGTTTGTCATTAATAAAGCCCGTCACCATCAGCTGTACAGGAGCTGCCGCTGTCTATTCAGAGCCTATTCAGAGCCCGAGTGACCCCCCCCCAGGGCCAGGGTCCCCCAGGGGCAGATCCTGCCCAGCGGTGCCTGCCTGCAGGCTCCCCACACTAATTAAGAGGCTTTGAAATGCAGTCACCATTTTAATAGCGCAGTGGGGTGACGGCCGCTGTTTTGCTCCGTTGACTGCCCTTCTCTCTGTAAGCATCGGTGTGGGGTTTTCAGTCACTGGGGTACGGGTCTGCATGACTCGGAGAACACGGGACCCTGGCTTTCCAGCACGCATGACGCGCCCGTGGACCCTGGTGACGCTGGCTGACCCCAGGCACCTGGTGCTGTGAGCACAAACGGCTCCCGCCCGGCTTAGGGCTGCTGACGCATCCACACGTCCGCCCCTCCACGCCCTCGCCACCTCTTTGGCACACTCTCACGGCAAAGCGCTCAGTCCCTCTTTGATCTGGACAGGTTTTAGTAATCTCAGAGTTTGGGAGATAGGCTATCAGGTGGCATGCTGGCTAAGGTACTGGATCCCATGTGGTGACTGGGGTTCAAGTCCCAGGTCTGGCAGCTGGAAAATCACAGGGGGCCTGTGTGCATGTGTGCCCGCCGTGTCTTAAAAAACGGCAAACCTGTATCTTTCGTCTCTCGCTTTCTGAGAGATGGAGGAGGGACTGTGGCATGGCCATCCCCAGGGGCGATTTCTCACTGTTCCTCTCTCCGTCTCTCTCCAATGAGCACACACATCCTAGGGCAAAAATCTGAAAAGAAAAAAAAATCCCGACGGAGTAGGCTCTTGGGTGGGACTGAGCGGTCCCACAGACCTACGCGGTGCTGCTGCGTCTCTGCAGCGAAGGGCACGCTCCCCGGGCCAGACAGCAATGTGCTTGCCCCCCCCCACCACGCTCCCCGAGCTGCTGCCATGTTTGGATGTCCCTTCGCAGGGCCGTTCACTCGCGTCCTCTCATCCTCGCGGGCGGTCCCTTTCCACCCAGCTGTTCAAGCAGCTCTCGTGACCGCTCCTCCACACAGCAACCCCTCAGCGTGTCCACAGCACCGCTCCTCCACGCAGCTACCCCTCAGCGTGTCCACGGCGGCAGGCCACCCTCCTGTCAGCGCGTTCAGTGGGGTCCGCATTGTAAACACTGCAACGGCTGGGAAGATTGGGGGCATCGTCACTGTTACAAAACACTGCCAATGGGGAACCAGCAGTGCAATGGCTGTGTCGCTGGACTCCCACGTAGTCAACCGCGGTTCGCGTCCTGGACCTGGTGGCTTAAAACTCATGCCGGGCGCATGTACGTGCGTGCTCAAGATCCCGAGAGGAGAATGGAGGAGAAGGGATTGCGGCGTGACCATCCCCTCTGGGGGTGATTTCTCGCTTTCTGTCTCTATGTCTCTCTCTGTCTGGCGAGCGCACGCCCCCTATAGCAAAAAACTCTCAAAAAAAAAAAAAACATTGCCAACATTGCACCCACTGTGAACCCCATCAAGAGGGACACCCTGACACTGCTGAGGACAGACAGGGTCCACCTCAGCTGTGGGGCTACTAACAGAGACCCTGGAGACGAGGCATTTACAACCAACACAGGGTTAGTTAGCTCATGGTCTCCAAGGGTCTGCCCGTTAGTGGGGACTTCCTGCAGAGCCTGGAGACCGGGCAGTGTCACGTGACGAGGGCTCAGGTGCAAGCGTGTGTCTGTCCATGTTTCTTTATAAATTCATGGATAGCCACTCATGGGGGCCCTACGCCGAGGCCCCCCTCAGACACCTCATCGAGCAGGTCACCATCAGTACCACCCCAGGGGCTCGTGGGAGTCCTGTACAGGGACCCGGGTGACATTCAAGCTGGAGCAGAGGGTCCCTGTTGGCCCACATTCTGCTACACAGAAAAGCTAAGCTCAGCCGTGGCTTAGGCGAGAGGGAAATGCATTTCTCCCTTCCGAATGAAGAGACTACTGAGCAGTGTTCCGTGGGGCCCGGGGCCAGGACTGCCCCTATTCCGTGTTCCTCCATCCTCAGTCCACGGCCGCGTCTGCCTCGTGGCATAAGATGACTGTCCGAGTGCCACCATTGCTCGAAGCTGCAGGAGATGGAAGGCAGGAGTGAAGACGTGTCCTCCCGTTAGGGCAAGCCCTGCTTCCGAGGACACCCCGGGGCCACTCCCGCTGCAGGGGAGGCTGGGACGGGAGGCGCTGTTCCCAGCAGCTGTGTGCCCAGGTGAAGATCGGGGACCGGCGGCCCGGGGGGGGGCGGCTGGCAGCGGCGTGGAGGTAGCCTGGTTTCGATCCCGCGGTGGCTGCAAGCACCTACTTCTTAATCACCGCGTACCTTTAAATGCCAAGGGAGTGCTTTTCACGGGTTAATTTCGACGCGAAGGCCCCACAACGAGGCTCACCCTTTCTCGCCGACAGCCTCATCCCTAAGGTGAGGGCTCAGCTAGCTTACTGCGTGGACGAGCCCCTCTGCCCGCGGCTGCGAAATTAAAAACTCGGGGTAAGAGTACACGGTTTTTCATCCGAATCTCCTAGAACGTCCTTCGTGTTAGGGGAAGCGCGGGCCGGGGAACGTGGTAAAATGAA